TGAAGCTGAAGGATCAATTTCAACAACAACGACTACTAGGAGCAATCATCATAAGTCTATCGATGTATCATCATCATCATCACCGAGGTCTCATCACAGCAATAGCCCTGAAATCAAACCTTTTTCTGGTTTATCGAATTGGTTAAGCTCTGTTGGTCATAGAAAAAGCCCTAGTCCACCTAATTCTTTCAATGCCAAGAACAGAGCCGCCTTGGCTAATAATAACAAGGTCTTGGAACATGGTGATGATCATGTTGTTGTTAATGAGTCCGAAAGTGTGGACCAGCAGGATTTAGGTTCCACGGATCCAGCTGTTGAAGAAGAGAATCAAATACAGTTGGCTTTAGAGTTAAGTGCCAGAGAAGATCCTGAGGCTACTCAGATTGAGGCTATTAAGCAATTCAGTTTAGGCTCTTGTGCTCCTGAGAACTCTCCAGCCGAACTCATCGCTTATCGGTACTGGGTAAGCATTTGATTCAATTGTTTTCTCTGCATAACAGAAACTCTCTAGTTACTCCCAAGAACTCATATCATTGGGAATTGTTTTTTGGTTTTGTTGCATTCACAGAATTATAATTGTCTTGGCTATGATGACAAGATCTTGGATGGTTTTTATGACTTGTATGGAGTGATGAATGTATCCTCATCAGAAAGAATACCTCCTTTGCTCGATCTTCAAGGGACACCTGTTTCAGACGGTGTCACATGGGAAGCTGTTCTTGTGAACAGAAGTGGGGATTCTAATCTGTTGAGGCTTGAACAGATGGCTCTTGATATTGCTGCTAAATCAAGATCAGTTTCTTCCTCTGGTTTTGTGAACAGTGAATTGGTAAGGAAACTGGCTATTTTAGTGGGAGATTACATGGGTGGACCAGTCGTGCACCCAGATAGCATGTTGAGAGCTTGGAGGAGTCTTAGTTACAGTTTGAAAGCCACTCTTGGAAGCATGGTTTTGCCACTTGGTTCTCTAACTATTGGTTTGGCTCGTCACCGCGCCTTGTTATTCAAAGTATATACTTTTTCTTCTGGATCTCATCACGTTTTCAACTTTGAAGTTCATTTCATTTCTTATGTTTCTTTCTTCATATGAAATTTTGTAGGTATTGTGTGATAGCGTTGGTGTTCCTTGTCGGATAGTCAAAGGACAGCAATATACCGGTTCTGAAGATGTGGCAATGAACTTTATTAAGGCTGATGATGGCAGGTAATCATCACATTAATGTGTGGATTCAACAGTTTCCTATCATTCATGTATAGGTTTATGTACTCTGGTATAGATAAAATGTCAAGTATATGTGATATGTTTAAATAGGCATTTGGACTTTGCTATGTTATCTGCGCCTCCTGAAGCTAATATTGAGGCTCGATGAAAGAAACTTTGTGTTATATGCAATTCATTTGTGGAATTTCAGGGAGTACATTGTTGATCTCATGGGAGATCCCGGCACGCTTATTCCAGCTGATGCAGCTGGACTACAAATGGACTATGATGAATCTGCCTATTCCGCTAGTCCTGAAGACAATGTTTCATTTCATGTAGCTTCTTCCAGCAATGGGATTGAGAGCTCATTTGAAGAGAATGCAGAGTATCGAACAGGGGAAGATCGTTCTGGTACCAAGAGTTCTGGGGCGAGAAACCAATCCGGAGGTGGAGGCGATCTCATTGTTCATCCAAATATTTCTAGGGAAGATGTGAGAAACCAGAAGAATGTTGAAAAGGCTCCATTTCAAAATCTGTCTAGCAGGCCGATTCATTCTTTCACCCATATGAGATCACCTTCTTGGACTGAAGGGGTTAGCTCCCCAGCTGCGCAGAGGATGAAAGTCAAAGATGTTTCACAATATATGATTGATGCTGCCAAAGAGAATCCACGGTTAGCTCAGAAGCTTCATGATGTATTACTTGAAAGCGGAGTTGTAGCTCCTCCCAGTTTATTTTCCGAAGTCTATCCCCAGCAATTGGAGGCAACTGTTGAAAGCAAAAACTCGACTGAAGCCAAGAAAGAGAGAGGAAAAGATTTAGAGACAGCTCAGGAAGGAAGACACCAAAACGGTTTTGGTCCAGTGAGGTTTTTGCCTCCATTACCAAGAGTACACTCTAAAACACATGCATATGATCAACGTGATAATGGCAAAGTTGTAAGTCAGTCTGATTCTTCACATTCTGAAGCATCTTCGACAGAATATGCCAGAACCGTTCCTGCTGCTGTAGCTGCAGCTGCTGTTGTTGCATCTTCAATGGTTGCTGCTGCTGCTGCCAAGTCTGCTAACTCAGACTCCTCCCCCGTAGAACTTCCCGCGGCCACTGCTGCCACGGCCACTGCTGCTGCAGTTGTGGTAACAGCTGCGGCCGTGTCCAGGCAACTTGAATTAGGCTCGAATAGCGACGGGGATACTGGTTCTGGTGGGCATGATCCTAAAGGTAGTGGGGACTCTAATCATGAGCCAAATTTAGGAGGGGAAAGAATATCTGACAGATCTATTGACAACGAAAGTTCCAAGTCTGACTGTGATGATGTATCTGACTGTGAGATTTTGTGGGAAGAAATTACTTTGGGGGAACGTATTGGACTCGGTACCTGACTTATTATCACCTGTTATCTGCTTTGGTATAACTACCTCTACAAGGAATTAACTACTTTACCTCTTTTAATACAGGATCTTATGGAGAAGTGTATCGGGGAGATTGGCACGGGACTGTGAGTATTATATTTTCTTTTCCAATTTATACTGTGAACTAAGATTACCTGGAATTTATAACCATTAAGCTTACTTAATAGAACTGGATGAAGAAATAGTTTAGCAATTCCTTAGTTTGAGTTCCATATTGTTGAAACTCTTGAACTTTAGGAAGTTGCTGTCAAGAAGTTCCTTGATCAAGATTTAACAGGAGAAGCATTGGAGGAATTCAGAAGTGAGGTACGAGTCTTTCTTCTAATCTTTTCTTTTCCCTGATTTTCCATGTTGATTAGTTCTATATCAAACCCTTCTTATATATTCTTGTGATGCAAGGTCCGAATCATGAAAAAGGTTAGACACCCCAACATTGTTCTCTTCATGGGAGCGGTGACTCGTCCACCGAATCTCTCAATTGTTACAGAGTTTCTTCCTAGGTAATACTATGATCTTTGCAAGATTTTGTTACTTAGATACGATTCTCAAGGTTACAACGACATTCCATCTTCTTATTCATGAGTCGCATGCCTCTGTTTTTCTCTTCTTGAAATAAACTATTTTGTGACCTCTAAATGCTAAAATCTTCTTTGCATCAATGGGTGTTGTTCAAGTATATGCTTGAAGTTCTACAATCTGGATGGTTTGAACAGGTTCAATCCGGTTTTGCTTCGGTTTTGGATCTTTACAGTACAGTTTTTTTTTTCCCCAAACTTGTGCAGAGGTAGCTTGTATAGGTTAATCCACCGGCCAAATAACCAATTAGACGAGAGGAGGCGTCTAAGAATGGCTCTTGACGCTGTATTACTCTTTTTCTCTTCCCTCTTTTCTTCTCTTATTTCTATCACCTGTTTGTAACTTATTGAGTTTTTTAGTAGAGTGTTGAGTAGCATATTACTTGTAAAAAATTCAGGCTCGTGGAATGAACTATTTGCACAGCTGTAATCCGATGATTGTCCATCGCGATCTAAAGTCCCCAAACCTTCTAGTTGACAAAAATTGGGTCGTGAAGGTCAGCATTCTCTCCATAGAATTTATTGTTTCTTACCAATTGGATAATGTTACATCGTATGTAACAGCTATTAGTTTGCATAACTAATAGTGGATTTTGATATTTATCAGGTGTGTGATTTTGGGTTGTCTAGAATGAAACACAGTACATACCTCTCTTCAAAGTCAACAGCAGGCACGGTAAGCTGCTAAAGGAAGTTACCGTCTTGCCTGTCTTAATCATCTCTCGTTACAGTTATCGTACTTGCCAGTTCGTTAATCTAATTATGTGTTGGTATTTATACAGGCTGAATGGATGGCTCCAGAAGTGCTAAGAAACGAACCTGCTGATGAGAAGTAAGCTCTTAGATATTTTGAAACTAAATATTCCTTTTGTTCTCTTTTCTAGAAGCAGGTCTAATGTCAGGAAAAAACAATACGTGAAACAGGTGCGATGTTTACAGCTATGGTGTGATTCTATGGGAACTCTTTACGTTACAACAACCATGGGGAAAGATGAACCCGATGCAAGTTGTTGGGGCAGTTGGGTTTCAGCATCGACGTCTTGACATTCCCGACTTTGTCGATCCAGCAATTGCAGATCTCATCAGTAAATGCTGGCAGACGTGAGTATGGAATATGTTTTCACTGTTTCAGTCAAAATGTGAAGTAGTAGTGCTTAAACAAAATCATTTCACTTGACCATGTCTCAGTTAACAGAGTATTGAATACTTGAAAATGGGGTTTGGCTGATACATATAGTGGTTTTGTGTGTGTTTAATAGGGATTCAAAGTTAAGGCCAAGTTTTGCAGAGATAATGGCTTCTCTAAAGCGGCTACAGAAACCTGTAACAGGTTCCAACATCCCAAGACCAGTCCCCAGTTCCTCTTCATTACCAACTGAACATGAACAAAAGGATTGATAACAAAAGAAGAAGAAGACCAAAGTGGCAAACACATTGTTGATGGATTCAATCTGTTTGAAGGAAGAAAAAAAAGCTACAAATGTTCCTTCTCTGCTACTTTTTGGCTCAGCTTCAGTGTTTCACACAGCTTGTGAATTGTGATTAAAACAAAATTCATGGAAGATGACGATTGAAGAAGGTGAAGGATTGTGGTCGTGTGTTTTGTTGTGTTGTCTTGCTTGCGTTCATGTTCATGCGTAAAATATCCTCTGTTTTGTTTTCCAAAATTGAAACTGTACAAAGAGAGAAAGAAAAAGAATTATTTTTGCAATGATGACAAAATCGTTGACCAAAAATAAAAATCATTGTTTTACTCTTTATTCATCATCAGTCATCACACGAACAAGATAAGGTTGTGCTATCTTTGTTGTTCAGATATAATATATATTTTTAAAAAATTTGTTCTTTAGAAAAATCTCCGAAAATGGCGACTCTCTTCACTGCGACGGTTCCTTCTCACCACCGTTTCGTCTCTCCTTCCCAACATCCGAAACAGAGTCTTCCATCGCAGTCGCTAAGCGTCACTTTCACGGAGATTCCAGAACCAGCGGCGGTGATCACATTGCAAGAGCAGCAAATGACGGATTGGATTGCTTCTCCGGTGACGCGACGATTCGGAATCGGCGCCGGGTTTACCTGTGCTGGGTTTTTAGCTTTCGGTGTTGTCTCCGAGCAGTTGAAGAAGTCACGACTCAATGTGTTTCTGGAAGACGATAACACAAGGTTACTTCGAATGTTTTCTCTTATTAAGAACTGAAGATGGAAAATTTAAGTGAAGCTTACTTCGAATGTTTTCTCTTAGTAAGAACTGAAGATGGTAATACAAGAAAAGATACAGAGAAAGAATCACGACTTGAGCTCATAGTTTATTTTGTTCTTGAATGCTTTTTGGTTTTAAATTCTTTTTCTGTAATGTTTCGATTTGGCAGAGGTTTAGAAAAGCAAGAAGAGATCGTCTTACCAAACGGCATAAGGTACATTCTCCATAACAAAATTTCATTACTTGAAAAGTTTTGAGAGTTTCTATTGACATGTCTAACCCCATAAGAAACGAAATCTGCATCGTCCTCCTGTTAAAGTGTCTCTCTCATTATCCCTTAGTTACATTTTAGCATAACATATGTTGATATATGTTTTATCAAATAGAAAAGTTTGTGAGCTTCCATTGTTGGGATTTACATGTCTAAATTCTCCTTTAGTTACAATTTAGCATTCTCTATGGCCTTGACTTGTCTTATTTTGATGCCATTTTGGGAAATCCTTCTACTTTTTGAGGTGGTTCTGAATCTATATCTGCCCTGTGATAAGCCTGAAACTTCTTTGTATACTAATAACATTCATCACAAACTCAATCTCTTGAAAAGTTCAATCTGGTTCTCATTTTGATAATTGGACTTTTGGGAAAACCCTTGTAACATTTTGAGGTGGAATGCAATGTGTCTCAATCCATATCTGCTCTTACTGTGGCCTGAAACTTCTCGTCTATTCATTCAAAAACTCAAGCTCGTGTCTATGGAATTGAACCGTGCAGGTACTATGATCTACAAGTTGGAAGCGGAGCTACTCCAAGCTCAGGATACTTAGTAGTGTTTGATGTAAAGGGACAAGTACATGGAACCGAACAAGTGTTCGTCGACACATTTGGAGGCAAAGACAAAAAGTCACTAGCGATGGTAATGGACTCAAGACCGTATAGCAAGGGACTATGCCAAGGTATAGAGTATGTTCTCAGGTCAATGAAGGCTGGAGGTAAACGTAGAGTGATAATTCCACCGTCCTTAGGATTTGGAGACAAAAATGTCGAATTTGGACAGGGTTTGATGATTCCTCCATCTGCAACACTGGACTATATCATCGAGGTTGATACAGTTTATTGTTTCCAAACCATTGTATGAAGAGATTACGAAGCAAAATAATTGATGTACTATAAAGTTTCACACTTTTTTTTCTTGTGTGCACACGTATATTCTTTCTTTTATTGAGACTTTTCTCGTGAAACAAGTAACCGGCACGGTGTTTGGTTCATAGCCACATAAATTCATCGGAGTCTCAGCCATACACGAATGACCAAATGTTAAAGATGCGACTTTTCTCTTTTTCTCAATTCATGGTACTCGGAAACAATAAAAAGAGGATAACGAATCGTTTCTCTTTGGAAGTTCTCTCTAGTTTTTTTGTCCGTCTGATAGAATGGGAACAGTTCTCGATTCGCATTTCCTGGCCCTCACTGCAATTGTCACTGTAAGTGTTTTTAATCTTAAATTCCTCTGTTTTTTATTTTACGAGTTGGGTTTTCTTTCTTCATGTCTGATTTGGTGTTTTTGCAGATGGGTGCTCTACTCTGATTTCGTTTTTTTTTTTTTTTGTTTTTTGCCATAATATGTAGGTGGTTTACCAATTCATATTCTTCGTAATCACAGCTCTTTTCAAATTTGATCAAGTTACTGACTTTGCTGGTACGACCAATTTCAGTCCTTAAATCCCCAGTAGCTTCGTTTTCTGTTATGTAGGAGTCAGTATATTAATTAACTCTGTATGGTTCAGGTAGCACAAACTTCGTTATACTTGCTGTGTTAACACTTGTTCTCAAAGCCTCTTGGCATTTTCGGCAGGTAAGTCTCTGCTCTTCTTCTTTGTCTTGTTTTGGTGTTTTTGATCTGTTGAATTAGATTGTCTTCTGTTTTGGTGTTTTGGTGTTTGAGTCTCGTTTTTGTCTACTGAGACTCTTTTCTCCTCGTAGATAGTCTTGACTTTGCTAGTTGTGGTATGGGGTCTTCGCTTGGGGATATTCCTTCTAATGAGGTACCGCACAATTCTTTTTTATTTCTTTTCTAATCATTATAGCATGACTCTCTTGTTGTTTTAGGATCTTGCAATGGGGCGAAGATCGACGCTTTGATGAACAGCGTGGGAATATAGTGAGACTAATCATTTTCTGGACTCTTCAGGTGAACTTTTTATACTATTATCTTGTTAGCCTATTTGGAATTCATGCTTGTGATTCTCAAACTAGAGTTCTTCTTTTCTTTCATGGTAGGCCGTGTGGGTTTGGACGGTTAGCTTACCTTTAACCGTTGTTAATGCAAGTGATGCTGGAGGATCTCTTAAACCCGCAGATGTTATCGGTTGGACTATGTGGGTTTTCGGTTTCTTGATTGAAGCTGCAGCTGATCAACAGAAGCTATCATTCAAAAACTCTCCTGAAAACAGGGGGAAATGGTGTGATGTTGGAGTGTGGAAGTATTCAAGACATCCAAACTACTTCGGTGAGGTTAGTATTTCGATGTAATGAGTTCTTCGTCTTTGGCATAAATGGTGGTGATCGTTCGTTGCTATATCTTTGTGGCTTTATATGTTCATCAGATGTTACTGTGGTGGGGGATCTTTGTGGCTGCATCGCCTGTGCTTGAAGGTGCAGAGTATCTTGTCATATTTGGACCACTCTTTCTCACTTTGCTACTTCTGTTCGTCAGTGGCATACCATTACTCGAGGTTCTCCCCCGTTCTCTCCCTTTCTACTTAGACAATTTCTGAATCACATATGGCTGACTTGAATGAATATAAACAGGCGTCTGCTGACAAAAAACATGGAAACTCGGGAGCTTACAGATTCTACAAGAAGACAACAAGGTTTAATGATATGAACTTGCAATATACGGTGTAATAAGCCTTGAAGATGTGTTGTATATATAGCTAACTTGTTTCTACCTTCGTTTCGATCTTTAGTCCTCTGATTCTGTTCCCGAGAGGAGTGTATGGGAACTTACCAGGATGGTGCAAGACGGTCTTTCTCTTCGAGTTTCCATTTTACAGCCGAAATCTCCCTCAAGAGGTGGCTGTTTAGTAAGTCCTTATTCAGTTTCATCTTTTATATCTTACTATAGTGTTTGATGAGTTTGGCTTCTCTTTGTTGTATGTGTGCAAGAAAGTTAGGGTAGACTCCAAGAACAGCAAAGAGAAAGAAGTAAAAGATGAATGATTTCTGAAACTCATATTGGGTTATTGTTCTCTACAACACTCTTTAATAAAATTGGGTAAAAAAATTGCTTGTAAGAAACTGAATTTGTTTGAAATATTGGACAAGTCTTGACAGAACAGGAGGATCTCAGTTGTGATTGGTCCTTTTTTCATGTGATTTTTATATGATTAAAAATCATGTACTCAACCAAGTCAAAATTTTCAGGAATAAACATGCAAATAAAAACATCATCAAAGTGTTCCAAAACAATAGACGAAAAAATACATTAGTTATTTACTTGAAACAACAGTTGGAGGAAGAGCTTAACGGTTGAGTAGCAGTGACTTCGTGTATATTCACAATTTCTTTACCAACGGGAAGAACCGTACCGTTACCATTACCATTAATGTGAGCCGTCGCAGCGCCGTTGGATTTGTTGTCCGAAGCTATCCTCTGAGTCACAACCTCGTGTATCCGTCCGATCATCACTAGAAATGCTTCTTCGACGTTAACGTTCTCTAAAGCCGAAGTCTCGAGGAAGAAGAGACCTTCTGATTCAGCTAGAGTCTTACCCTCGTCTTCTTCGACTTCTCTAGATTGTCGGAGATCGGATTTGTTGCCGACGAGGACAACCACGGTTTCGGGATTGGCAAAGTCCCTAAGCTCAAAAAGCCATTTCTTGATGTTGTCGAAAGTTGTTCGTCTTGTGATGTCGTAAATCAGTAATGCCCCTAATGCTCCACGGTAGTACGAACTTGTAATTGCCCTAAATCTTTACTCATAAAAATTACAAGGATTAGAGATTAAATATAATAATTACGGAATAACAATTCATATATCATAAAACTCATAATTATTTATTTTACTTAATTAATTAAAGTAGCTAGTTCACTCTTCTTAGTTTAATTACATAACTTCTTTCCTCCATTTTGTAAAAGAATACTTTTGATTAGGTCAAATAAAAGCTCAAAGAAACATACAAAATAAGGAACAGAGTTAGAGCAGTCACGAGGTCACAAAATTATGTGCGTGTACCTTTCTTGGCCGGCGGTGTCCCAAATCTGAGCCTTGATGATTTTATCTCCGACGTGAACATTCCGGTAAGCAAACTCAACTCCGATGGTTGGTTTAGAGTCAAACCGGAACTCGTCTTTAGAAAATCTAGACAAGAGGTTTGATTTCCCGACGGCTGAGTCTCCGATCAACACCGCCTTGAACAAGTAGTCGCACTCTTCCTCGTACGAATCTTCTGCCATTTTGTCTCAAGAATAGAAATCTCAAGTTCTTCTTTTGTTTAGGATTCTTTTTTCCGATGATATATGTTACGACGAAATAGGGGAAAGGTGAAGAAGTAAGAAGAAAGGAAAAAGACAGTTCCTCCGCTGAATTTGGCTTTTGGTTGAAAATCGGATTTAATAGTAATTATTTTAGTCAAATCACTAAGGTATATTATTCTTTTGAGAATATTATATAGTCAAATCAATATTTTGTTTTTTGAGAATAGTATTGCTCACTCGTATTTAGAAGGAAAAACTTGGGGTGAGAAAATGTGAGAAAGTGATATATTAGGATGAGATATATAAAGATGGCGTCCAAGAAATTATAAAACGAGAGGGGTTCATAATCATAATCATAGGTGCAGCTGTTGGCATGTGAAATCATGGATTACAACATAATGATAACGTTATCCTCCTTTTATGATTGTTTTTTGTTTGGATCACCAAATTAAAAGAAAGCAAATATAAATATTTACAAGACCATGATAACTGCATCTGCTTCATATTTTTCCTCCCTTAAATGTGTAATTTTGTTGTGTTGATTGGAAAATACTATCGGATTAGATGACATGATGTTCAATAATCAATCATACCTACCTATTTGCTTTTCTCTTTGACATTTTTCACCTAAGTTCACACGCTTTTAAAGATGTTTTCCTCTATACCAATTGTTTTTTGACGCGAATTATTGTTTGAACACTGGAATTTTTACATGATAACCACTTATCAAGATGATAATGAATCTGAGTCAGATTTTATTTTCATACTCGAATGAATATATTACTATTAGGGAGTATTTAGAAAATATGATCCATTGATTTTGCTAATTCAAAAAAAAATCACGGATCATTAGTAATATATATCCCAGGCGCTACGTCGTGAACTAAAATTACGTGAAGTTAAATACAATGGAATGGAAGGGGCAAAGATAAGTTTATGCAGCAATATTAAATGGTGAGATGGAGATAAGTTTAGAATTTGTACCATTAAAAGAACTATGAAAGGTGACATTTCAAGTGTTTCATATATAGCCCGACCTTATGTAACCGTGTGTGTGGGTATATAAATGCTCCATGCCTCGATCAATCGATCACGCCATGTCTTAAGGTAATAACTATGATACTATTATTTGTGGTGTGATAGATATCTGAGTCAGTTTTACTTTATAATCTCAATTCTTTTTTAGTTCTTAAACATACAAGAAAAAAAAAAAAGAGTGTGATGTGCCTTGTAGAGACAGTAAACTAAAAGGGTCTTGGGTCTCTTTGGCACAATTTCAGTTGACAAGAAAAACTCTCAAGCTACTAAAAAAAAGGTGAATAGAATTCTCATTGGGCTCAACTCAAATCTGGGCCTTTAAAAAGCCCGTATTTCAAACCGAAATAGGTTCCCATCTTTCAGGCCACACAAAAGAAGAATCAGATTCCACACAAAGAGCATCTTTGTTGACCAGTTTGAGTAAAAAACGGTGGTAATAGAGAGGTCTGGACAAAATATTCGTTAGATCCGCTTCGATTCGGTATTCATTTTGATTCGATTCGAAAAATTCAAATATCCGTAAAATTTTGGAGCAAAGCAAATGGGAAAACATAGTATTCGATTTTCCTAATATCCGGAAATTTTCGGATAAAAGCAAATCACAAAATCAAGTATTCGGATGAAACGAATCGAATAACGAATATCCCAAATTTTTCGAATATCCGCTTCGTGTCCAGACCTACTAGAGACCTATAAACAAATCTCAAATATCCAAGTACAATTTTATGAAATAACCATTTCATAATCTCCAGTCTTTTACAATTATTATAACCGATTATTTAGTGAAAGTCTTTTCTCCGATAAAATTTCATCCAAATTCAGATCCAATTATCCAACTCATTATAAATAATTGATAAATATATAGATTTGTGACCCCGCGCAATGCGCGGGATTTTACTTATAAATTATTAATAATATAAGTCGTGAATATAAATATATATATTGAATTTTAAAAGATAAATCTATAATGACATAAACCTATTTATGAAATGATATATAACAGATTTTATTGAGAATAATGTTTCTCTTGAAAAAACCAACAAATTTTTAGGTAACACGTGGTAAAAAATTAGTTGAAAAAATTCAGAGAAATATAATACAATCTCGACCATGTCATGTTCATACATCTTTTTGAATTTAGTCAATTTCTCTTGAAATTATTTCGCTGTCATTTTATTCGTCATATTCTAATATGCAGTCGTCCACCTCGCGACATTTTATCTCTTTTCACGTTCTTTTCGTTAAAATAATTGATTAAATTTTTGATTCATTATAAACTTACATTAAAATTATATTCTCTTTATCTATTTCATTTTTATATTTTATTTTTTCTTGTCTATTATAAAATGTTCTTTTTCCTACATATTAAATTTTATATTTGGATTCTTCCTATTCTCATACATTGCATTTTCCATGAAACATTGCACTCTAACGTTATTGTTTAAAGAAATCTTGTATCTAATTGTACTCTTAAATCACAATTCTTTCCTTAAATATATTATACAATTTTATATATATTTTATCTTGATTTTGGATACATACTTTTTTCTTGAAAAATAGATATTCTTATTTCGTGTAATCTAAATTCTATAGTTTACTATCATATAAACTTTTTTTAATCTAAATATTTTATAAATCTTGAAAAGGTTAATGTCTTTCTAGCGTGATAACATATTTTTTTGTTTTCTACTTCTCATATATAAATTATATATATTTGAAAACGACGACGTTTTATTTTTTTTCCCTTCAAACAACGAAACGACGTCGTTCTAATTTTGGGGAAAAATTAAAATTAGGGTTCTTCATTTTCTCTCGAAACAGAAAAATGTTCGTCAATTTTATGAATTCACAGGCACTGTAAACGGAATCTGAAAGAAATGTAGCAATAGCAAGAAAAAGCAAAATTTGTTCCCGAATAGTTTGGTCTAGCAATTGTGTCCGTCTAAAGATTTTGTCTTTCTTCCTGCAGTGGAATCATTGTACAGACATTCTATCTGGAAACTTGTCTGAAATCAATTGTGTTTATAGTCTCGTGACCTGAATCATCATCACTATAATTCACAACAATTTCAATCCGCATAACAATTCATGAACTCTAAAGCTATGGTAACACACTGCCATTCATTAAAATTTCAACTCGACACAAATGGAGACAATACCATATTGTTTTAGAAATCATACAACCCCAAGATCCATCACATGGTAAGTAATACACAGTCGGACTATCGAATGATAGATCACCTTCGATATATAAATAGTTTTTCTCTCACGACCCAACTACAAGATTACATGAATATAGCAGCGGCTTGGGTTTTGAATTTAAATTAGTTTTGAGTTTGGGTAGAAATTGACGGGGGTTCTTAGTTTGGGTTGAAAAAACCCGCCCCCAAATAGTTGGTGTTGAAAATGGCCGTTTTCCCGCCACGTCAATGCCACGATATCGCTGACTCAGCAGCCGTTAAATTCCGAGCTAACACCGTCTTCTGTCGTGTTGAAATCGGCTAATTTTCATTAGTTTAGGTTTTGAATTTGAATTAGTTTTGAGTTTGGGTAGAAATTGACGGGGGGTCTTAGTTTGGGTTGGAAAAACCCGCCCCCAAATAGTTGGGGTTGAAAATGGCCGTTTATATGATATTAAACAATGTTATTGTTTATGAAAAAATATTTTCTTTTATTAAAAGATGATAATATAAAAGTATGTGAAATTTTTTTTAATGTTTCTTCGTTTAATAAATAAATTGAGTGGAAGTTTTATAAAGTCATATATATAATTTAAATTTTGATATCAATCAAAACGATTTAAATGGCAATTTGGTTTGAAATGCACCTATTAAATGTATTGGGTAAGGGGTTCGAATCTTTTTGGTAACATTTTATACCTATTAAAAATGTATGATGACGTGTACGCTGATGTGTCGCCTATGTGGACACTCTAGATGGAGAGAAAACTCTCTCATTATATATATAGATTGATAATGAACTATAATATACAATGCCAAAAAAAAACACAAAGAAACAAGTATAAAATTTGCACATCGAATGCTTACATATAAAGTAAAGCATAATTGCAGAGCAATTGTTTGTTGTCAAACCCTAAGTGTTTGCGACCGATCCCTTAACGAGCTCAGGAGACGACATCATCTTCTGAAACTCCTCGAAGTTAACATTTCCATCGCCATCAGCATCAACATGACCGATCATTCTCACACAATCGTCAACAGAGCAAGACATACCAAGACGATTCAGAACCTTATGGATCTCAGAGGACGATATCAAACCGTTTTTGTTCTGATCGTAGAGATCGAACGCTTCACGTATCTCTGATGCGGAGGAAGATGATCGGCAAATGGTAGCGAACTCTTCCTGATTGATGAAACCGTCACGATCGATGTCGATTTCGTCTAATACACGGTTTAGCTCCTCCTCCGTGTAGGACGTTCCCATGGATTTGAAAACGTTTCCGAGCTCTGAAACAGAGATTTTCCCGTCGCCGTTGGAGTCGAATTGGTCGAAGACTTTCTTTAGCTCCATATCCGTTGATGGCGTTGTGGATTTGTTAGCGGATTCAGGATTTGTGTTTGCCATTTTTGTTTGTGTTTTGAGTTTCTTGATTTTGACGTTTTTATAGAGTTTTTGTGATGATTTGCTTTCGATTGGTGGATGCTTTTTTTTTTTTGTAACGATGCTTTTTCTATGGCTGACCTTCATGGCTTTTTTATTGATTCTAAATACAGTATATTTATTCCTATTTTTATTAGCTAATAATATTGATTTTTTTTTTTTTTGTCTAGCTTATATATATTCGTGAATGGGTTATTTTCCTTCACTAATTACTCTTGTTATCAATTATTAGTTTTATTTTGTTATTAATAGATTGATCAATGGTATAGAGTACCATCAACTAGTAAAATTATGTAAAATGTTATGGAGAAAATTTTGAAAAAAAAACAGTGAATTAACAACAAAATTTACTATTTGATTATTACATAGTGCGTATCAAAAATAAGGATATGTTCTTAGTTACACCACACGTCAATGTCTGCCTCAATGGAGGAATCTGAAACTACAAGTGGGAGAAAAAGGGAAAAAGACATTCCCCGTATAAGATATTAGGGAAGAGTAATATGAATGTGACATCTGAATTATATATTTATATATCGAAAACGATTCCGAATATGAAGATAGTGTTGAACATGATACTTTTATGAACAGATTCCGGAAATAATTAAAGTATCTATACAAAACAAGAAATTATATGTACCAATGTACGGTTCCTTCTTCCATGCAGATTTTGCTGCTTGTGTAAGAATAGATATTTTTGACGTATAAAAGAATTATAAGCCCCCTATATATGTAGTAGAAGTATACATGTGCTACTAGGGAAATAGTAATTGAAATTATGCGGAGGTAGAAGGATTCTGAGAGTGAGTCAAATTATGTCGGAGAGTAAGGACTCCTTTTTTGAAACAAATGCAGGCGAGGATGAGTAAAAGAATGCAGCCACAGGCACAGAGAAACACATCAACAACATCGGCCATAAAATAAAATTTGGTGTCTTTGAAGATAGCTAATCGTACCAATCTCACAATCCCGAATATACCAACTCCGATTATCGACAGAACTGTTAATGCAAGTATCACAAACCCAGCCGGAATTACCAACTTTAATACATCTCCCCAAAAATTCGAGGCCATTTTCTTGACCCTTCTTTTTTCGTTTCTTTTTTTCTCCTGATTTGTTTTGGTCTCTTTGATCTATATGTACGTATATGTTAATGGTGTGACGCCCAATTACTTCGAGAGTTTATTGTTTGCTTCACGATGGTAATTAAGTCATACTTGCATGGTAATAATTAATTAATATTTGGTGATATATCTATGTACCGTGGATTTTGCTAGAGCGTTTCCAATCTCGTTTTCTTTGTGGGTTTTAGTAGTTTTGAAATTATAGTCTAATAGGTACATAAGCATGTATTTGAGCTAACGAAACGGAGTTCCATTTGATTTTTGTTTCTTAACTAAATATCTATTTTAATTTAATGATTAAATAACAAGTTTGTTGATGGGTATAATCGGGTTTTAACTTTTAATAGAGTGTTTTTTTTTTGACGTCTAGGTTTATTATTTATTGTAAATTATGATAACTGTTACATAGACGATTCTACAACGGACAATTCTTTCCGACCCTTATTAGATCCATGACCTGACGACATTTCTCTCTCGGCGTAGAATCCTGGCGCGCGAACGGCTATAATTGTACTTCGCTGGAGATCTCCTGCACACTTACCTCATTTAATCTGCAAATTTATTAATAAATCGCAATATCTAGGACTCGAACCCCAGATCTTTTGGTGTAGAAGCATTAATTAACCTTTGGTCAACCAATGGACCAAGGGGGCTTCCACATAGAGTGTTTATATCCTTATAATTTATTCCTTAATCCGGTTTTTCGCTTTATTTTAAGTGCGGTTAAACAAATTGGACATCACTAATATTGTTTAGGCTAATGCATGTTCTTTGTAATAAATCCATGAAATCTTAAGTGATTAGTTTCTAGATCATCGAACAAGAACAAATAAGACATTGAAAAAACACTAAACTCCGTTATTAAGCAATCATGAGAAGAATTAGAAACCTCGTACTAAATAATCAATCATGTAAATACATTAAAAGTGAGATTTTAATCAACGGCCGCGGTGGGGGCAAAAAGTGACGATGTAGTTAGCTTTAGAACACGTAGCAATGCTAGTTGGGTCGTCATAGGCGTATGAGTAAGCCTTAGGGCAAGCTACCTTGAAGATCTTAGAGTAAGCCGTAGGCTTGCATGACTGTGGGTTACCGAACAAGCCGGTACAACAATAGCGTGGTGAGTTAAAGGCAGAGCATGCGCTTTTACAGGCTACTACCTGTTTCCCGTCACGTGAAAGGACTTGTAGACCAACCGGGCACATCCGGTTCAGGTCGCTTACGCAACCAGCGTAGGTACACTTTCCCGTACCCTTCACCGGCATTATCGACATCGCCAAGTTATATCTGTCATGACGGTTAATTAACAATAAAATAAGTATTATGTGTGTAAACAAATATGTTTAAATTACTTTTAATAAAGTATGCTTATATTTCTATTAAATATGCCTAAACAATTATAAATAAATATATAATTTCAATTTAAAAATCAATTTCATCGGCTGGTTTGATTCATGAACACTAGTTTCCATTACGTTCGGTTTAGATTTGTCGTCTTTTACTCACCCCTAATTAATCCTAACGGCCAAATTAAATCGATATTCATTCAAATTCATATTTACTTCAATAGGAGTATATGTTAAAATATTAAATAGTTATTTTTCTTCTAACTGAACCGACCATAAAACCATAGCTTAAGCCGAACCGAATTAAACTTTTTGGTTTAAGTGAGACATACCCATCAACGAGGCTGACGTCATAAAAGTCCATGTCATGACCGAGGGTGATCTCGGCAAGAGTAGCCGGAGGTACACCGCCAGCTCCGTTACAGAGGAAAGAACCGCCACAGTCTCCGGTAGCGCAGCGACCACGGCCAGATCTGTCGAAGGAGCAACCGTGGCGTCCCCAGAAGCGACCGGACCAGAGCGGTGGAAGTTGAAGAGTGTAAGCTCTGTTCGGCGACAGTTTAAATCCGCCGCCAGCGAGTACTGACTGGCCGGAGCTAGGCTGGATCCCAGGCCAGACAGTGTACGTGCACTTGTTGTAGAATATTACCGTTGAAGCTTATTCATCACAAATAAAAGTAAATTTAGTTAACCACTTAATTAACCCCAAAGTAATGTCATTAGTTTCGTTTGATGTAATTAATATATGAATTTAAGTTTAAACGAACTCAGATTAAACATAGAGTAAGAGGAATAATACCTGAAGCGTGGGAGAGAAGAAGAAGGAGAGGGAGGAGAAAGAGAGATATTGAAGAAGCCATTGATGGTTCTTCTTCTGATTTCAACTTGAGTGTGTAGAAGAGTAAGACTGTGAAGCAGCTTCACATTTCTTATTGCTTTTGGAGATTTTCTCTTTATAGAGAAGAAAAAGCAGTGTCCTGATTTTATTTTCTTTTATTATGGTTAATAAAAATAATATAAAAAAGAAAGAGTCAAGTTTGAAACTTGAAAGTAGATAATTAACGATTAATATTACTATCCTATTATGATTAGTGACTATAAAATGAATTATTCGTGGTTAGTAATTTACTAGTACATTTTTCTTCTTTTACCACCTAACTAGTAACTATCAAATATCAATCTAATTCATCTGTTCTAGAGAAAATTTGTACATTAGTTATTGACATTGTTGTTGGAGACAACGATGTTAAAAAAAGAATATGAGTTTTGGGGGATGTAGTAATGAGAAAAGGGTCTTTTGCAAAACTAACCTATTTTGATAAAGTATTTAAGAATATAGCAGCACAATGTGGTAAATTAAGTAAATAACACATATGGGAGATGAAATGTCTAAATACTCCTTCATATTTGTTTGAGTGTGTGGACACACGCGTGAAATTGTAAGCTTGGTTATGTTTTAGAGAGAAAGAGAAGAGATAGTTTGTGAGTTTGGTAAGAACAGAGGACGAGAAAACAAGATGAGATAAGGAGTGGTGATGGTGGTGTCGGCAACGACGGCGGTGATGGTGGTAATATTGATTGCAATGGTGGTTGTCGTGGTGGTGGTGACGACTCTGATCCATTCGCTTCATCACCATCTATTCATCTTCAACACCAGATTGCATCACAATAAAAAGAAGCAGTCAATTCCAGAATCAGAAACTTTTATTCTCTAATTTACATCAAACAATGCAAAAGCAATACCTACAAATCGTAGATGTCATTTTTGTATCTAAAAGTGATATAGTATTTACTAAAGACTCATACTATTTAGTAAATTTTGGATAAATAGTATACTATTTGCATCAAATCTATGGTTCCCGATATAGTCCTGATCTCTCACTCCTACTCATCAAAGGTTATGAATCGATGCTTGTCGATTCGAATAAGATAGATTATGTTCCAGAAGTAGATGGATCGAATGGGAGTTCACATGGTGCTTGTAAGAAGGAGAGAAAATGAAGGAGATGTGAGAAAGAGCGAGAGAGAGAGAGTAAGAAACATAAGAAACACAGAGTGGCAGAGAAAGGAAGAAGAAATGGCCAGATTTTGAATCCAATTCAACGAAAAGCAAGAAATTCTGGAAAAAAAAATGACGAGAAAAGAAAAGAGAGATAGGTAAAAAACGTCTTGTTCACACATCACATAGGGCATAATTGGAATTAATATATAAAATACAGAGAATATCACCCATTTTTTTGTTAGGTGTTAGTTTCTTAATTTATAAATTTTTGTGTGTTTCTTTTGCAAATTTCCCATGAGAAAACTTATCTCACCTCTCGAGGCTGTTAGAAGACTAAAGACCTTAAGTAGACATGTCAATTAGGGCCAAAGCTCGTGGGCTAGCCCGGCCCAGCCCGGCCCAGCCCTGAAAAATAGCGTGCTCGGGTTTCAAAATATATGTCCAGAAAAAATCGGGTCTTTCGGGCTAAGCCCGTTCGGGCTAAAGGGTTCTTTGGGCTTAGCCCGGCCGGGCTCGGGCTAGCCCGAAAAGCCCTTTAAAAAATATTTTGATCTTTTTTTTTTGTTAATATTTTCGTTTAATTGTAAGATTTGTTGTAAAAAAAATTTTTGATAGAGTTGAAAACCCTAAACATAGTTTTTTCGTTATGTATTACTATAAATCGAAAAAGCAAATATTAGCTCTACTACCTAATTTGAATTATTTTGATTTTATATTTTATCTAGTATAAGTTTAAACAATTTATTTGGATTATTTATTTGATTTTAACTCTCTTTTTAAAAAACTAAATTAGCGTTAGTGGTTATTTAAATTTTGATTGACTCGTTTCATATATAGATTTTTTTTTAAGAGATATTATAAATTATAAGTTTGTTTTTTTGTTGTCGGAAGAAAAGTCCAAAAAAGCCCGGAAAAGCCTTGTAGCCCTGTTAGGACCGGGCCGGGCTTTAAAATATAGGCTCGGAATTTTTACGGACCGGGCCGGGCCAGGCTCAAATATGTACGGGTTTTGCGGGCTTCGGGTCGGGCCGGGCCGGGCTAGCCCGATTGACATGCCTAACCTTAAGTCGAACCTTTGTAATTATATGACTCGTAAGTCAATTATTTGCAAATTATACATAATACTAGTATTTACATTTTCTTCTCCTCATTGGTTTAATCACAAGAGGTATAGGTGGTGTCTAAGCAACACATTCTAATAGTTAAAACTCTTTTATACAGTTCAATAATTCCAAACTATATTTATCAATTTAAATTTAATTTTATGATTCACTGATGGGTGTCTTCAACAAGATCGTTTAAATATTGCCATTCCTACACTAAAATTCTCGAAATGGGGACTAGTTCAAAACTAAAATTCACGTGAGGTTTTGGATTTACGTGACAGGCAAAGGAATCTAGCTATATGAAGCAGAGTGAGATTTAAATCTAGAGTTTTCGTTTTACAAAAATACAAAAATTGTAAGAAAAATAAATTCAAAAACTTCAATATCATCACAATCGACATAAAAAGATGCTCCACGAAAACGGTGTTTGAAGGCTCTCTGAATAAAGTAAGGAATATGGACCGAATCGATAAGAAATAGTACAGTAGCATAAATCTGAAGAGTTATGTGGAAAAGTCATGTTCTAATGTCAAAACAAAGCTATGCACGTGATTAAAAAAAAAAACTAAAACAGGAGATTAAGTTTTTAATTTGTTGATAGTGTGTTCTTTGTTTTTTTTACATCAAAGGGGTTCATTGAAAAAATCCAACGTTTGATGTATAGTTGATATATCTTCAGGATATTAGATATTAGTGACTACAAAATTTATTTGGATCAGAAAAGATGAGAGGGATCAAGTCAACACAAAGATCTAAAACAAATATTTATTAAGAGTAACAAATATTTTGTTTGACCAAGGAGCGACGTTGTAGTTGAGGTAACCGATCGATAACTTATTATTTCTTAAAACATGTTATCAAAACATACTGATCGATATTAATTATGACAATCTAAAAAAGCTTGCCGAAAGAAAATGAAACAAAAACAATCTAAAAAGCTTGATAACTGATTATCAATACAAAAGAGCTTGATAACTAGATCATGCGAGCTTTGCTTTGATATTTTCAATAATCGGTGGTGCGATAGTTTGGTATGACTGCTGGGTCGGATGGGCGACATCCCAAAACACAAAACGAGACGCATCCGGGCACGGTACTATGGCCGTTGGCGTACAACAACAAGCATCAGCTGCATCAATGAACCCTACATTTTTTGAAAATATAATTGTAAATGTAACGTTATATATAAACATATGAGTAGTCTTCTGGAATCATGAATCATGTCATTACCTGAAGCTTGAGGGTTACTGATGAGACCATAAAGAGGATTGTACATATCTACGTACACGAATTTGGCACCCGGAAATGTTGCACCAAGATTGTCAATGTCGGCAGATAATTGTTGGTTGAACATAGCAGCTGCTTGATTTGAGAAGAGTTCACATAAAACTCTATCTAAGGCTCTTGCTCCTGGTAAACAACCTAGCGGTAATGTTCCCATAACCGCAAATTTTCTTGCACCCAGATCATATAAACTCTTCAAAAAAAAAAAAAAGAAGGAAACAATAGAATATGTTAGATACAGTTTGACCAAAAGTTAATCACTTACTATGTTCTATATGTATATTTAAAATTTTATAATTTTGTACCTTTATGAGATCACGAGTCCAAGAGACCAATTGATCATTGTAGGCTGGAAGAGTGTATTGTAATCTTCTAGCCCCCGTAGTAAAATAAGTGATAGCAATATCGTTATTTCCGGCGGAGATTAGGTAAACCGCATTTGATATAATTGCATTTGCTTGTTCTTGATTCCCTACTACACCATTTAGTCTGGCGATGTAGTTTTGGAAGTCTGTGACCTGGTCTGACACCCATATACTTCCCTAATCGCACCAAAATATAATCTATTAAAATTTGCTATAGATCAAAAAAATAAAAAAGATGTTATAATTTTTTGGACAAACTAAGAAAAATTTACTGTTGTTCTTGCAGTGATTGCATCAAGTCCAGATCCACCGGATGCAAAACAAACACCAGTCGTTAGATCATTGTCAGAGAGGTATGGATCACGATATGCTGGTAAGATATTCTTCAATCCCAAACCTTCAGCTGCAAACAAAGACTTTTCTATTAGATAATATTTGTGTCATGGTATTTTTTTTTTTTTTTTTTTTTTGGTGCACTATTTGTGTCATAGTATTAAAAACATTAAATTCATCCGTTACAAATATATCAACAAGTAGAGATCAATACACATACCAATCATATCAGAAAAAACTCTCCCATTTCCAAATCTCCCGGTAGCTACTCCACCTATAAAGTCTCTACCGTATGGATAAAAATTGACTTTACTAAAACTTGGAAGAAGATTATTGTTGCCTGTGTCAAGTATTGAGTCTCCAAACGCGAAAAGTGCCGAAACCGTTGAATTGCCATATGATTGTTGTGCATTACCAACATAAAATAGACTAACCAAAGAGAATGCTAATAGCATTTTGGAGAACATAAGGCAATTCATATTTTTGAAATTGTTTTTGGATAGGAGTTTTGGTGAATATCAGAATATGAAAGTTGATACAAGATATATCTGATCTTAGGGAAAGAGTAGGTATTTATACGGGTTTATTACAAGATAACTTTCAAAGAAATCAAATATTCATCATCATATTCAACGAATTGATTGTTCATAAATGTTATCATTGGTATTCAGATTATGGAAAAAACTGCAATTCAAAGAATTTTATATAGTAATGAGCGCGAATTAAGTATGAATGTAAATGAGAAAGCTAATATCTCTCTCTAGTCAAGCAATGGATCTGTATTTGGTCTCCTTTTTTCTTCTTCTTTTTTGGCATTTGGTCTGTATTTTTCCTTCTTTTTTTTGGTATTTGGTTTGTATTTGGTCTGTATTTTTCCTTTTTTTGATATTTGGTCTGTATACTCCTTTTTTGCGGGTATTTTTTTGGAAAATTGAAAATAAAATATATTTTTTGTGATTTGTCCATATATATAGATATATATATATATTGTATATCTTTGTTAAATTTAGAATTGTCCAACTATGATGATTTACATTAATTGAAAACCTATTATTATACCCTTAATTATGTGAGTTTAAAAATTGTCTTTTCAAAATAAATTCTTATTTTCAAATTTTAAAAAATGGGTTTAATGTTAGACCCTCTACTTCACCAAGAGGGTTCACATTAAGTATATTTCCAAATAACGGAGTCCACATGCTTGAGGACTGGATCTGACTTACTTGCACATCAATGTATGACTCTGTTTTCTCTTCTTTAGACTTAAGAGGACGTGAAGGTTACTAGTCCCCATAATCAATTATGTGCATTAGCTACATATTAAGTGAGGCTTGAAAAATTAGTTTCTCGATCTTGTAATATTGTGATCAAGTTCGTTGTTTTTCACTTTTTTGTTAAAGAATACTGTAAGAAAATAAACAAGTAATTTTCTTAGAATCAAAATTAGCATATGATTACTTAAATACACAATTACATTTCGAACATTTCAATTTTCAACGCATAATTCAATTGGAGTGTGACCTAGTGTACAAAATAAAATTCCGATCCGTCAAAGTACTTAGAAAAAAGGAAGAAGAAAAAAACTAGGAAAATGCGGTGATGTTTGAAAAAGTGATGATTAAAGTTAGATATAGATTATACACATTCATTGCCAAAAATTCAGTGGGTATTGTTTATTGTCTCAGAATAACTTTTGAATTTTAATGTCTCTTAGTCTAGACGTTATTAAATCTCATATAAAACAAAACAGTTATATATCTACTAGATATAGCTTGAAAGTTGCTTCTGTAAACAATTGATACGGTTATACTCCTCGTCAATCGTCGGAAAAACGGTCTATTTCCCCACGAGAAGTATCGCATCATAACAGATAGAGCCCAAATTTTAATCCCAGTCTATATGTCTCTAAAAAAAATGTTTTATACCTATTTCTCCCCGAAACATAAATTCAATAGCTAAATCTCCCCGAATTAATACTTCGAGATCTATTAACCCACATGTCTGGTTTCGTCGGTTTAAGTTTACTAAACCGTTTATAACCAAAGAAAACCTGAATTTGACCCGATTGAAACAAAAACCCAATCCCCTTCTTCTCTTCTATTCACCCGAATTCACGATCTGCGTTTTATTTTTGTCAAAAGTAGAATTTGACTTTTCTTCTTGTGATTAAACCACTTATGATTAAGATTTTTATTCGCCAAAATCTTATAACCTTTGATGAGATAGCTTAAATGATTCAGATTCAAGATCAAAATGGTCTTTTTTATAAGAAACAAAATCATAATCTGCAGGTTACGATCTGATAAAAAACAATTGGTTTCGATGCAACTTTTAGAATCGCAATTCTCAATAGCAAAGAGATCAAATACGAAGCTGCAGGTTTCGATCTGATATCGAACAACATTCCAAACCAATTTTAGTTTTGTATCAGGTTTCCTAGAACCGATAATTTTTCTTATTTGCAGAGAATAGGAAAAAAAAAATTGCAGGTCTCAACACAGCCTTAAAATTGCAATTCAAAGCTGAGTTATAACCAAAGCAACACTCACTTTCGAACCTCCAATGAGAATTTTAGTTATGCAAACCAAACACAATTTCGAGACTCATAAGCTCTCGTCATAGTGTGAATGGTGTTTATCCAATTGTAATTGGTAAACAAAATCTGAGACTTGTGTTTGCACAAACTCTTTTTATGTTTATGAAAGTTTGATTTCAATTCGATGTTTGCACAAACTCTCTAATTGGTATTATTTATAAACGAAGAGAATCCAAGCAATGTCACATTAATGGTATCGAGACCCAAATATTTTAAGGTGAAGAAGAAGAAGAAGATGGATCGTTAATGGGTTGGCTGGGTTCGGGTTAACTTTTGATAATTTGGGTTTAGTTTTGGTTAAAGTTTGTTTTAAAATGGTTAAGACTGAATTTTTGTACATTAAACCGACAAAACCCAGACATGTGGGTTAATAAATCTCGAAGTATTAATTCGGAGAGATTTAGCTATTGAATTTACGTTTCGGGGAGAAATAGGTATAAAACATTTTTTTCAGAGACATATAGACCGGGATTAAAGTTTGGGCTCTATCTGTTATGATGCGATACTTCTCGTGGGGAAATAGACCGTTTCTCCTAAATCGTCATCGAAAGATCATATGGTTTATTTTTTTCTATATCAAACCAACTCGATTATGTTGAAAAGGGACTTTAATCTCGTCGACCCCCTCTCCTCCAAACATTCTCTATTTAGCCCCCTTTATAAAAAAACATATGTTTATTTGTTTTGTTTAATTCAGAAAAATAGTAAATGACCAAAAAAATATAGACTTTTCAACATAATTACGGATCCAACATAACTTTGGATCTACATCCATATTTGTTGGATCGGGTTTCGGATCTTTTAATTCCCCATTCTAAGGATCGAATCTCTAACCCCAATTGGCAAAAAAAAAAAAAAACTCTAACCCAATTTTTTTTTCTCATTTCTCATCTTTTTCCTTTTTCTCTCAAAGAAGAAGAACGACAACTCCAAACCAACAAAATAGACAAATTTTGGCTCCAGCGAAAGAAAACCTCCTTTTCGATTTCATTGATAAAACGTAAATCGATCTCTCGTGGGGAAGAAGAAGAAGAAGACGATGGGAACAATGAGAAAAGCATTGTACAACGTAGGATTCTGGATCCGGGAAACTGGTCAAGCACTTGATCGGCTCGGTTGTCGCCTCCAAGGCAAAAAACACTTCCGAGAACATCGTATGTCTTTTGGGTTTTGTTTGTGAAACGGATGAATTTTTGGATCAGAATTTGTTGTAATTTTTGGATTGAATTTGTTCCAATTTGTAGTTATTTATATAGAATTCGAGACTGTTTTTGAATGTTTGATATTGAATTTGTATTTGTTATTGCAGGTACTAATTACAATGGTTATTACGAGAGGAGGGGGATCTAGTTGTAGAAGTGAACCATATGCCTCTCTTAGAAGTGTCAAAAGACAAAAGCAATTAGATCCAAAGCATTCAGAGATAGCAACTGTAGTGAGGTCTGATTGTGAGACCATGGCTGCTAGTTTTAACATAGATTATGGTGATTATAGAGGTGATGGAGAGGTTGTTTTGTATCCAAGGTTGTTGGTGATAGTAGAGGTGATGGAGAGACTGTTTTTTTACCCAAGGCTGTTTGGTTTCTAAGGTTTTTTATAAATCTAAGTGTTTAGGTACAATTGTTCGGATGTGTTTTGGTTTCTAAGGTTATGTATGAAGCTAATTGTTTAGGTACAACTGGTACGATCAGGTACAACTATGTTTCTGGGTTTATGTTTTTTTGGTTTAAAAACCTATCTAATTATGTATGTATCTTTGAATCTGAATCTTAATATTTTTATGTATGAATCTATGTATTGAATATAATCTAAGAGTTTAGAACTAAAAAAAAAAATCTTAATTTTTCAAAAAATGTGACAAATATGTAGGTTGTAAGGGCTTTTATTAAAAAAAACAATTAAATATCTGAAAATATCTAAAAAAATCTACAGATATCTCAAAATATCTAAAAAAATCTGACAAATAGCTTACCTGGCGCCGTTATTTTGAAAATAATAATTAAAAATAGCACAAATTTGTTCATAGTTGTACAGTTGTACCCGGTTGCACATTTTTTTCATAGTTGTACAATATAGAGAATTTAGTAAATCTAGTTGTTATCAACTCTAGTTTAATTTTTGTGCGTGGAACCGATGGTATTGCCTCATAAAAATACCATTACTTTGTATCTGTGTATTTATATTTATCAAAATACAAGTATTTCAAAAATTTATAAAATTTTAGTTCAAAACTACAAAGTAACCATGAAAGTATAAGGTTGTTAGTGTATGAATGTGAGATTTTATGTAAGAATTTCATTATTTTAGAAAATTTTGAAATTTTTTGTCAAAAACTTGTTGTGTAGTTTGATTACCATCGTGTATGCATGTTTTTAAGTTTTTCAATTTGGTTTTAATTTTTCATATTATAAAATTGGCCAAGACAATAGACCTTAGTTGTACCTGTTGTACTTAGTTGTACCAAGACTGAACAACTTAATTTGCACAGCTACGACAAAGCAATCAACCATAGTTGTACCTGCTAAAACTTAGTTGTACAACACATAACATATAAGTTTCATAAACAAAACCAATACAAACAATATCGTTTCTTAAATTATCCTAATAAATAGCACTCATAAAACTTAGTTGTACAACACAGAACATATAAGTTTCATAAACAAAACCAATACAAACAATATCGTTTTTTAAATTATCCTAATAAATAGCACTCATAAATCAACCTTGGTCACCCGCATCGTCTCCATCAACGTCACCGTCATTGGTAGACCACCTGCATCGTCTCCATCAAAGCTTATGACTGAATTCTTTTTCATTGTCCCTGAAAATGAAAGAGAGAAAAACGGCATATAATTTCACAACTTTCGTAGCAGACCATCAACATAGTTGTACACATTTGTCCCAGTTGCACCAAACTTAGAGTTTCCGTAAATATTCTACTTAGTTGTACCTAATAGTTTCAGTTGTCCCAAATCTGCAATCCTAAAATATTTTAACAAAAAACCCTATTCAAGCTACGAATTCAACTTTTCTCAATCATACTACACTAAAAAAACAAGTATACTTACCTTACAATATGGTGAGAATAGAAGAAGAAGAAGAGAAGAGATATGTCTTTGGAGATGCATAATCGTAAGCTTTAATGGTAAGCTTCAATGGTGGATGAAGAAGAAGAAGAAGAAAAAGAAAAGATGAGATAAGAATTTGGAGATGCTTGAATCGTAAGAAGAAGAAGAATTCGCTTTTAGTTTGGAGATGCTTGAATCGTAAGAAGAAGAAGATAAAAATCTTTTAATGGTGGATGGAGAAGAAGAAGAAGAAGAAGAAGAACGTTGGAGCTGCTGAAGAAGAACGTCGGAGCTGCTGAAGATGAAGAAGAGGAAGAAGAAAAAGAAGAAGAAGAGTAGAGACGTAGGAAGGATTTATATCGTTGAAGGTGGGTTGATTTGATTGGTTGATTTGTTAGGTTTAGATTTTAATGAGAGAAGAGAGAGAATGTTTTTGATTGGTTGAATAAAGAATTTGTTGGTATTAAATTAAATGTAGAATTAAATAGATAAAAGAAAGGATAATGGGTAAAATTGGTTTATGAAAAAATTGGGAAAGAAAGGGGGTAGTGAGAATAAAGAGGGGTTTTTCAAAGAATGATTCTCCTCAAAAGGGCCAATGAGATTAAAATCCTGTTGAAAAGTTCAACGGCTATAATAATCATAACCGTGCCCCTGATATATGGATCTTGGTGGTCCAATTGAAGTATATATAGAAAAAAAACGTGTCAATAATTTGCGAATATATACGTGTCAAAATCTGATGAGGTTAGTGTATTAATGATTAGTAAAAAAAATAGATTTGATTGGATAGTACTCCATTAGATAAGATATGAAAGGCCCCCAAAAATCTGATAAGAAATACAGATGGGTCCAATTTTCGAATTCGGTATAACGAACAATTTATACCGGTTTGTGAAACGTGTATCCCGTGACACATATCGATGGGTCTATCAGTAAAATCATTTCTGTCTATATAGACTCAAAACAAGGTAATTTAAATTACACACGTACTAAAACCCTTGTTCAAAAAATCGCTAGGCGTTAATCGGGCGCTCGAGCTGGGCCTAGCGATTAATCGGTTAATCGGAGATTACACGGAAATTAATCGGAATTAGTTTTAGAGTTTTTATCTAGTTTTGTGGGTATATATGAATTATTTGCTGACAAAGAATATAAAGTCAGCTTGGTGTAGTGGTTTCAGCAGTCTAAATGCCTTTGTACGCCTGAGTTCGAGTCCCCAGATCTCGTTTTTTGCTCTCTTTTTAACCCTTCTTTTAATGAAGGGTAAAACAGACATTTTATCATCGTCTTCTTCACAGACCTTGACGACTTTCTAAACCTAATAATGGCGGCTCCCCGTTTTTTTATACATTTGCATCATTTTTAACTCATTTTTGTTCTTGTTTTTCTCCAAATATGATAGATCTGACATGTATCATAGAATATTTAACCATAAACTACAAAAAAATTTTGTTCTCCGATTAATTCTCCGATTTGGACAAATCCCGGCGGTTACCTACCGCCGAGCGCTTAACCGGCGCTTAGGCGGCCGCGGAGGCCGCGTTTTCGAACAGGGACTAAAACTAGAAAAAGAAAATTTTTCAGAGGAAAAGAATAAAAACAGAAATTATGGATCAATCTTTGTGTACTGCTTCTTCTGCTTTGTACTCGTTGTGGAAGTCGCAAGATTCGCAAAACCTTATTACAACCTTCAAAACCTAATGGAAACAGAAGCAATAGTAGAAGAAGGATTCTTGGACGTGGAGAACTCAGGGAGACTTCCATGTCACTCCTCGGGATCTGGCTCTGTCTCTGTTCCTGCTCGAAGTCACCAGAAGCTCTCGGATACAATAAGGCAAGAGTCGAGAGCTCGTCCCCCAACTTCGTACTGCGTGAAGATCCAGTCTTTTGCCACTCTGTCGAAACTGGTCAAAGACAACGGTGACATGTATGAGTCACGTCCGTTCTCCGTCGGTGGATACAATTGGTACGTATACGTTTTGTTGAGAAGCTCATATCTTTCCATGTCTATATATAATTGAATTGACGGTCTTTTTGATGCTTAAAATGTTATAAGGACTTTCCTAATCTACCCGAACGAGAACAAGCCACAGGGCTCGGGTGGATATGTTTCGCTTTACGTAAGAATCGATAACTCAAGCCTCATCGCCAATCCAGAAGATGTTTATGCAGAGATCACGTTCCTCGTCTATAAAAGCACTATAGACAAGTACCATATACTCAAGGGTACTGATTGACATAGATATATATATATATATATATCTTTTGTGGTTTCTTCAGACTAATTAGTTTTGATCGGTTTGCAGAGACTAAGGCGCAGCGATTTCATTTGTTTAGACAACAGTGGGGACAATTAAACTTTCTAGAGATAGGTTATTTCCTAAATCCGGTACATGGATTCATTTTCAACGGCGGACAAAGTGTGTTTGGCGTTGACATCTTCGTTGCTAAACCCTTTGAAAATTGGGAAGTTTTCTCTTACGAAAAAAATATTCGTGATCCTATTTTCGATTGGAGACTCAACAATTTCTCTACACTCGATCGTGACTCATACACTTCTGGTTCCTTTTCTTCCGGAGGAAGAAAACTGGTGACCTCTCTCTCACTCTCTCTCCACGTATGTATATATACATAGTAATATACAGGACATGTTAATTTATGTGAAGGGCGTGTACTGTGTAGGGTATTGAAAGTGTATCCAAATGGAGTTGGATCTGGAACGGATAATTCGTTGTCACTCTTTTTGTTGAGTGCGTCAAATGAAAAAGGTTACGTGGAAGCCAAGTTACGAGTTATTGACCAGAGCCGATCCAACCATGTGGAGAAACAAGGTTGGTGTCTCGGTTTGATATCTCCTTTCTCATCCTCTACTACTAGATTATTTAGGCTTATTTGAAACAGAAAAATTGTTAAATTTAACTTTTGTTTTGTTCTTATAGTGCGGGGATGGCCCAATGCAACAGAAAATGGATGGGGTTTCGAGAAGTTTATACCTCTTGCAGATATCAAAGACACATCCAAAGGTTTCCTTGTCAATGATAGCCTCAAACTTCAAATCGAGATCTTGTCCTTCTCGAAAACCGACTCTCTCTAAGTTTAAAATGATCCAACAATCACTTCTTTGTTGCTTTTTTTCCTCTCTTTTTTTTAAAACCGGAGATAGTAATTTAGTCAAAAACCAGATTAGTCTCCGCTATGGCCAAGTGGATTACTACAATTACAGTACTTTGGGTCACTGCTTTTGTTTCTGTTCAATAATGAAAAGTTTGAGCTTTTCTATGTCAAACTCGATCAATCGGATTGCAAATGTCACAAGAAATACTAAACTGGATAGGTTTTGATGATATATGTACATTACCCAAATTTATTTTCAAATGGTTCAATTATAAAAAGAAGATGCCATAATCAGTTTCTTGGCGATGTACAAACCCCACTTCTGCTCACCACGTAAGCTCCTAAGTAGCTTTGACTTCTACTTCTGCTAATCCTCTTCAAGAAGCTGATGAATTCATCCTTCGCCTTCTCCACTGCGTCCAGTTCCATGTTTCATAGTGTGAGATAAAAGGTATAAAAAAACTCATAGGAAGAAAATAATTATGCTGAATAACGACACAATGTAAATCTTCTATAGGCAATATTCAAGAAAGCGCAAGGCGTGTGCAGATGGTGGTCCAGCGTCTAGAACGCGTAATCGAGGTCTAAACGATTTCAGCGGTTTAAGCGGTTTAGTTATTTATTACATAAAACATTAGAAATATGATATGATACATAAAAATTACATAAAATATCTATTAAAAATTAAAATATAAACTCGTAAGCAAAAATTAGATAAAACATTTACTTAATTTGTATTAAAATATATATAAACGTTTATAACTATGTCTATGAAAATAATACATAGTTGAAATTTGAGAAAATACACTAAAACGTGGAGTATGTATATTTTAAGCAGTATAAGCAACTGTCTAGGTGTCACTTGAGCACCTAGCGTCTAAACCGCTTTTTAGAACACTTATACGAGAAAGATTAAATAAATTTTAAGTCATCTGTTTTAATTAATATTTTATAAGTTTTAGCTTTTTAATCTAGTTGAGTACAGAATCATTTTCCATAGATGAATTCAATGCATTTAATACAGAAAAATTCTTTATATATAAGAAAATATTTGAAAATTTAAAATATATATTTATGGTAAGTAGATTTGATACTGTGTTTGGTTATTGATTTTAGAATATTAAGAATATAAATAGTAGAATTAAATAAATAAAAATATAAAATGTAAGAAAAATTGTGGGCTCGCCACATCAGCAAAAATAATATTTCTGGAAGATGTGTGTTCTATAAATTTTATTGATATCAAAACTTCAATCGAATATAGTTTCTTAGAAATATTATGAAAGACCTTAGCCACTTATGATTTTGACATTCAACTTAGGATTTTTGCTTATACATTTTTGAAGAGTTTAACATTTGGAATCGCTTATGAGGCCTATCATCCGGACAAGGGCCGATGCAAATACAATGATTAAGCTGACATTCGGCCTTTCTTGTAGGTGGATAATATTTGAGGCATCTTAGCCGACAATGGTCGCACCCATTGCCACCAACATCATAATCATTACATCCCATATTCTGCTCAACTATATCAAACAAAATTATTTTCGTCAGATAACAAAAAAATATATTAAGATTTAGGAGATATCAATACACTGAACTAAGATATATATGATAGATTTGCCAATGAATCTAGCCGAAACTAAAAATTACAGTAGAGTTACGTGAACATATTTGAAGTAAACCACAAAGGTAAATGTATAACTAAGGTCTAAGGCTAACACCACGATGAATTACAAGTATACAATATTGGATACATATGCCAACTCATTACTCTATGAATAAACTTTAAAGATAAATGCATACCTAACGCAAATATCACAAGAAAGATGATGGGGACGACAAGTGAAGAAGTTGCCTTGGCCATTTTTGTTTCTTGTTTTCTTTTCTCTTAAATTTAGGTACTCGTATACTGAATACTGAATATTGATAAACGTGAAAAATTAAGAGACTACAGAAAGGAGATTTATAGAATAATACGTACGGATTTATAGAAAGGAGATCTGTTTGATTTTATAAATCTCTTATTTATAGAAACGTATATGAACCTCTTACTTGCAAATATATTTATAGAGAAAGTATATATATATTTGATAAATTAATTCATTTTATGGTATATATAAATTTTTTGATAATATAAGAATAATGCACGTACGGATTTATAGAAAGGAGATCTGTTTGATTTTATAAATAAATCTTTTATTTATAGAACAGTATATGAATCTCTTACTTGTAAATATATTTATAAAAAGTGTATATATATTTGATAAATTAATTCATTTTATGGATATATATATATATATATAAATTGTCATTTTATTTTAAAATTTTTCCATAATAAAACTATACTAATTAATTTTGATTAGTTTAGATGAAAAAAATAAAAAGCGAATTTGATTGTTTCCAATGTTTTAAAAAACAGTTATGATATTTCCCAAATATTTGGTATTTTGAAATATAGAATATTCCGACAAATAAATTAGGGATTTTTAAATATAGAATATTTTTTGAATAAACTAGGAATTTTTGATTCGTCATAATCTCGAAAATATTTTGTGATTTTAGAATGATATAGTCATATAGCAATAGTAAAGAAAAACTTTGAATGGTTGGTGAATAGCTTTATTTCTTACTATTCGACTAATCAAACGGCTTGACAAGAAAGTAAGAAATCAGATCTTAACAATCAAAGCAAGTGGAGACTGCCCCTACTACAAGGCTCTCCAACTTTGGTTTCAACAAGAACTTGAGTTTTTTTTTTTCAGTTTAAATATAGAATATTTTTTAAATATAGAATATTTTTAAATATAGAATATTTTTTGAATAAACTAGGAATATTTGTTTCGTTAAGTTGTCGTTTAGTTTTTTCTATAACAACGAAGTATTTATATTTGGTATCTATATATCTTTTGTATTATTAGATCATGAGCCGTACTACAGTAGCGTATGGTCACAACGATTACCAAACGAACAATAGAACAAGTCCTGGCAACTAGTAAACGAACAGGGCTATCACTCTGGTTCATTGTTTTTGTTTCTGTTCAATAATGGTGATCGAGCTTTTCTATGTATAACTTGATCAATCCGATTTCAAAATATCACATATATTAAATACCAAACTGGATAGGCTGTAAAATGGAGACATTAAAGGAAACTCATATAGCTTGAAGAGATAATAATAGCAGGGAACTGGGTTTTGATGATCTACATACATACCCAAATTTATTTTAATTATAGTACATGCCATAATCAATTTCTCTTGGCGATGAACAAACCCCACTTCTGCTCACCACTTGAGCTCCTAAGTAGCTTTGACTTCCACCCGCCTATAATATCCTCGTAATCCTCTTTCGAGAAGTCACTGATGAATTCTTCCTTCTCCTTCTCTACTGCATCCAGTTCCCGTTTCAGGACTTTCATGAACTGATGATAAGGCAAACAGCAAAATTGGTTTCAACTTCTTTTTTAGAGCATATGGGTCATTTTGGAAAGAAAAGTGTTTCTTACCTGATCGGTTCTATCCTCTGCAGTTACCTCCTCGAATCCAGCGTCTCTCAGCATCTGTCGAATCAAGTGAGTTTAGATGACTTTGGTGATAAGTAGAAGAGGAGACGGGTTCAATCTCTGTATACCTGACCGTATGCTTGTACATCATGAAGATCATAACCTCGTTGCTTGATATAGTTTGCAAAGTCTGAAGATGGGGTTTTGGGGCTTCTGCAGTAATCAGTGATGAGAACTTTCCCTCCCGGCTTCAACCATTTGTAGAATGTTCTGAACAATGCTGGCTTGTCCTGAGAGTAAGACCAGCGATTACAAAATGACAAAGAGATCTTCGCTAACAAAGCTACAGATTAAATTCATAACTCATAAGGGAAGAAGAAATAGCGGAAGCTTATACTTGGATATGTAGAATGGTGTCTCTGCTGTAAATAACATCAAATATGTTATCAGGATACTCCTTTTTGGTGCAATCAGCTACTTCGAATTCTACAGAGCATTTGAGTCCTATTGCGTGTTCAAGCGCAAAAGAGATCATGTTTACAGATAGATCAATGCCCACAACATCTACGTCAAAGTTCTCAGCCATGTAGAAGTCCCCTCCTCCTATTCCGCACCCAACATCTAGAACTTTCTGGCCAGGTTTCAGATCCAGCATATCCACAAATTCCTTTGTTGTCTCTATATCAAAAGAAAAACGTATAATAAGAAGAAAAGATAGCTTCACTTGATGGTTTTTGCAAAACTTAAAGAGTTCAAAAACAGAACCATCAATACTGCAAAGTTGATACAAACTCGATGACTAAAGAGCATACCGAGTCCCCCTGTGCTAACAAACCCTTCTCCAAAGACACGCTCATAGCGTAAGATACCACTTGACTTATACTGGACATTGTCCAAGAAGCGTTGGAAGCCCCTATCATTATCCGAACTGACTTTCTGCCAAAGCCAGCATATCTGAAATATGTGTAAAACATACTATGAGTCCAATCATGTGAGAGATACCATCAAAGGGTGGCTAAAATATGAAGAGGCCTATTACCTGGTTCTGGTTCTTTTTGTTTCTCACATAAGCTCCAATACATTTACAGCTAACCAAAGAGAGTTCATACGAATTCCCATCTTCGTCATTCATATGGCATTCTTTGAAAAGCTGAAAGGAATTTATGTACCAGAGTTCAAAATATTTGTCTAGAAACAGAAGAATGGAGGGATTTATAGGTAGCACACCTTTGTATAAAATTTAGGTTCACGGTAGTGAGTTGGGTTGTACTTTCTCTTGTTATCACCAGACTGATGGAAACAAGACTCCCGAAAGAAGATATAACCGCCAACCTTTGTCCATTGTAACATCTTTTTCGCCAAATCTTCAACCTGCAATTTGATGAAAAGACATTACAATTTGTCCACGGGATATAAATGACCGAGAATTTGAAAATTAAATCCACTCTTGATACGTGTAGTTAACTATCTCTAGCACATGGCAAGCAGCTGAGTGAAGCTAAGATGCTGTATGAGTTTTGTCATTCGAAATGCCAAAAAATATTAGAAACTAGTGGCTTACGGTCTTTGTATGACACAATAGTAGTCCCAAAATGCAATTCTATGCATCACTACATGCGTTTAGTCTAAATGTGTACTGTTTAAAAGTGGTTCCCTCAGTAATAAATTGTATGGTTACCTCTCTATCAGAGAGATACATTAGCAGCCAGTTGGAGAATATCAGATCCATAGACTCATTTGGAAAGTTCATATCTGGGGATGTGACATCAGCGCACAGAAATTTGACGTTCTTGTAGTGCCCGTTAATGTTTTGATTCTGCAGATAAAAGTCTCATTAGGGAAAAATCGAACAAAACACGGCAAAAAGACAAGTCTTAAAAGTAGCTAGAAAGAAGAAGCATGGGCGTGATGATCTAACCTTTTTGATAACACTTTCAATGAAGTCAACCGCAATGAGCTGGCCAGCCTTGTGAGCTAAATTAGTAGTGAAACGACCAATTCCAGCACCAAACTCTAGCACTGTTTTCCCTTCAATCGGTGGAAGAAGCGCCAGTATCTGACACAAACACACACATAATTTAAGCCTTTAGAAGCTCTCCTTCATAAGTCCATGATACAATAAAGGACAGCAAGAAATCAAGAAACTGCATAAAGGCTATGTGATGACAGAGTAAACAATAAATGACGTTTTTCTTTCTGATCCATTCCAAGGAAGGCATACAAATTAATCTGTATACAGCAAAGCTGAAAACTTTTTAGGTGGGTGAGATCGAAATAAACCTCAGGACGTTCTTCTTTGTCGAGGTCAGAAGCTTTGGAATCAAGCATCATGGCCTCAACACTCAATCCCACAGAGTGCTCTTTCCAGTAATTCTTTTGGATTTCACGCTCCTCGCCTGCAACTGCAAGCGTTAAGAAGATTCAATTCATCAAAATCAATCAAGAAACCATTACCAAATATCAAATCAATCCACACGCTTTATGGTAAAGTCCCAATTTTTAAGGCTTAGGAATCCTAACACAGTTTCATCGTCCAGAAAACGTCGTATAAGAAACCAGTAACTCACCATACACAGCCATTATCCTTGAGAACACACAAGGAAACAAAAAAAGAGATGATTTTTTCTCGAGGGTGATGAAATCTATATATTGAGAAGCAATGGCTATGATCCTTCGATAGCGAGTCTAGATCTCGAAAAGCTCCTTGATCTGCAGTTGTGAAGCCTACCCTTCGACTGCATCATCAGAACTCGCAGATCCAAACTCGATTTCTCGCACAGGGAGAAGACGAAGCGCTTTCAATTTCGGTTTACATGTTTTTTATTTTTTGGTTATCGATCGGTTTATTTTCGAATACCCGATTCTTTATTTGGATCCGAAATTCAAACATTGGGCGCTGTTGTTGGACCGTTAGGAGAATCTAATTTGTCGTTACGTCAATACACATGGCAATTCCTAAACCGTCAGATTTCGGCTGTTCACATATTAATGGAGTGTGTCCCACGGTATTTATGATATGTTTCGTATTTTTTCCTTATTTAGAAGAAGACGAAATTACTTCTATAAAGTTTTCGACGTTACAATCTATATATACATTTTTGGATCACAATTAGCAAATAAATCCTGAAGTTGAGAAGTATTTACAATGACATGCCATTAGCATTAATTATTTAGATTTGTTTAATTTAAGTAAAATTTTTTAATTAAAATTCATTTCTCATATATTTAGCAAAAATCTCTACAAAATCTTTCCTTATCTATTTAAGTAAAGATTTTGAAATCAAATATGTTCTCAACAATTTACCAAAAATCTCTACACAATCTTTTTAAAAATCTCGACTTAGTTAACTTCTGATTTTTATCTGCAAAAAAAAAAATTAATTGTAACGAGTGATGTAAAAATCGGGAATATTGATACTACAATTTCTTCTACTTCTTTTTTTTCATATAATGAAAATTATTTTTTAGGGATATTTTCTTAAAACTTCTAAACAAAACAAAGGGTTTCAAAAGATAGCTTCCCTTTTGGCGGGTCGACCCGCAAACCCGCAACTCTCTACGGGCTTATCCGCATGAACCTGCGACCCGTAGTGGATAAAAATATTATTCAAAAAAAATAACAAATGATGTTTAATTTTACGGGACGGGATTATATGGTGCAACGTGTTTAGATCAATATTAATATCAAACAATATACTATGGATGAAATCCTAAAATTAAAAATCAAAATTTAATTATAAATTAGAAACACTAAACAAAATAA